GCAGTCAGTTACGAAACAAAATGTGAACTCAAAGTTAGAGGGAGCACAACAACCTAAGTATTCCATCAATTATTGACAGAGACAAAGGATAAACAGGATAAACAAAGCAAAAGAGAGGAAGAAATGCATAATGTGAAGGAGACAGGATGAACAAAGCAAAAGAGAGGAAGAAATGCATAATGTGAAGGAACATTATTGAGGGACACGAATGTGCAGCAAATGTAGAGATACATCAAGAAAAAGTGGAGCTTTGCTGCCTTGAGCATATTTCCATTACGCTGCAGCGGCGTACGCGGCGTACGCTGCGTGCGCGGCGTGCGCGGCGTACGTGGCGTACGCGGCGTGCGCGGCGTAGTATGAAGGAACCCTTACCAACGATACCATAAGAGCCACAATAAAAGTCGCTCCAATTGTTGAGAAATTACAAGAGAAGCGACTCCGTTGGTACGGACGTGTGAGAAGAAAGGAGGAAGACGACTTTGCCAGATTGGCAATGTCCATGGAAGTCTTGGGAAAAAGACCAAGAGGAAGATCGAAGCTAAGATGGATGGATAATGTTAACACAGGCTTGAAAGAACTCGATTTGAATGAAGACCAAGTCGATGATCGTGAAAAATGGAGAAGACTCACAAGAGTAGAAGAGTAGAGTAGATACATGATTAAGTATTGTCACACTTTCGTGTTATGTATAACGTATATTTGACAGTCCTATCATTCCTTTCACTCACAAGTAATGCCTAAACGTGACGAAATTGAGACAAAGAGTAGCAGACCCCTGAGGGAACATTTCAAGAATAAAAACAAAGTATACCGTACATATCCACGACTCGAAGTAGTTCTGTGGAAGTAGAGGGAGCCCAGTAATGCATCCTCATGCGGGTGGCGGACTTTATGAATAATAGCCCGTTAGCGCCGCTTATCGCAAGATGGACGAGTTCTCTGCAGTACAGCTCTAGCAGTGGTTCATGGCCATGTTCCCTAGTCAATTGAAACCAACTTCTGTTAGTGAGCTATAAGCTTGTTGCAAGCTGGGGTGATGACTATCAATAGAATTATTTTGATTTCTTTTTTTTTGCCAGTCAATGAACAGCTGATGTGTTGATCGTAAATTTCAAGAAATTTGCTGTTCTACCTATGAATGACCAAGTGACTCCTGGATATCCAACTTTGGAGTGTAAAGTCAAAACAGAACACCTCAGGCACGATTGTCTGAGTGACCTCACATCTTACGACAACTTCAGACGCAATTTCGATTGTGTTACAGATCGATTTATATTGAGGATAGCAGTTTTTGGAAGCAAAATAAAAGAATTTTGTTTTTTAAAGCAGATTCGAAAAAAAAATTAGTTTGCTTGAAACAAAATTCGCCAATGATGCTTGTTTTGAATTCTCGTCGCAATGAAATCTGTTTTTAGCTATGATTAGGGTTTCAAAACATACTTTTCCGATGAAAGAGATAATGTGTTGGTCATTTCAGCAATGATAATAATATTCCTCGATAAGCTGACTTCTTTTTGAACTAAACTTGAGAGTGCACAATAATATTCAATATATTTAGTAACAGATGTGAATAAAATTAACGCTTTTTCAGACATGAAAGAATTTCCTCCTACTTACAACGAAAAATCAATTTGAGCAAACCTACTAGGAACAAATAGCTGAAATACATTGACAATGAAAAAAGTTCTGAAAACTGATTTTCAATTTAGTCGAAATTTTAAAATTTACTGTTATCCAAGTTGCAACCAGCTGAAGAAGCATGAACGAAATGTTAGAGTTTTCCAATGGGTGCAACGCATTCCTAGGCTAATTAACAAGGGGGCGGAGCGATCAGCGCACCGCGTACGGTACCCAGCTAGCGGCTGGCACATGCTATCGTTCATAAAGTCATACACCCCCTCATGCCACCTTCATGCCATGTACCAGCTGGCAAATCGAAATCTCTCAGATTGTTACAGTTGTGATTTTTGCCAAGAATTTTAGCAAAATAAGCTCCTGATTTTCAAAGCAAGCACTATCACAGGAGGGACTTCGATAAACCAACACAAACTAGGTACAGCTTGTTATTCGGATAACACAAAAACATAGAACTTGGCAATATGGAGAAAAGTCCTGGATGGAGACTACGTGATACTCTAGCCCTTTGCGTATGAGGGCAAGAACACCGCCTCCTAGAATGCTGCCCTCTCTGTCACATATGTATGTAATCAAAGTCTCGACATATGTTAGCGTCATGTATAGAATCTGTCTTACACCATGATTCCGTTATCAAAAGGATAGCTGGGTCGAAATATAGTGTTCCGTGTAATTCTGGGAGTATTATTATTGAGTTTTATTATTTTTGCATACTGAGCGTGAATTGAATAAAATTGTGCGGAACATGAAACATGAACAACGGAACATGAACATTCTTTTTGTATTCTTCCTTCCCTTGCATGTCTCATTGTCCTTTCAAAAACTTTTACTCTTTCCTTTGAGTTATGGCCAGCTAGCCTCTGCAATCGGGCTCGCTAGCCCCCAAACAGGGGATATCATTTTTAAAAGGCGTATAAAATTTTAGGTCGACCGTTGAAATAATTGTTCCACGTCTAAAGTCACGTAGATGTCGACGTTATAGTTAAATTGTCGCGCAATAGTTGGCCTAGGTTAGGCGCTATCGCGGAGGCTGGCGTAGTGTCCAGGGGTATGTTGATATCCTTTATTGAAGTCTTCCAGGCGATCGGCGCTGCGTCCTCCTCGGCTTGGCTCCTCGAATCGATGGCACTCCAAGTGGCATGAAGACAGAAAAGTGATTTGAGCCAAGCGGAGCACCCTTAGAGGCCGAGAAGATGTGCATGCAGCCGATGGCCTGGTCCTGCCTTGACGGCGGGTGTGCATGTGGAACAAGGCGAAAACATAGGAAATTCATACCAAAAGTACGATACGAGATCTTAACATTGCAAACAGCGGTGATTGAGCAAGATAAGATCATAAGCAAGAGGTACGCGCTAAAATAGGGCACCATTTAAACAATTCAGATCATTCGAGTCGCTCTTTTCTTTCCTTTACAAGATCGGTAAATAAATAAAACGAGAAATACATGATTAACGAACGACAATACAGCAAAAACATGTGATCAAAACAAGATTGAGGAAGATTGAGAATTTAAGGGGAATTTGCTATGTGGAACAGACCCGGTGCGCAAATGAGATGTATTGTGAGAATGAAAATGAAAGATAGCATGATTATTAGAAAATATGTTCAAGATTGAGTCTAACACATTTTTTAGTGGGAACTCACCTCTCTGAATAACAGTGTGCAGCAACAAACATTAAAAATTGGGAAAGGCACTTTACTTAGACCGTCGAGCGGTTATTAGCGGTTGATATCGATTGCACTTTGAGGTGCTTTACAGAGAATTGTGTGTATGTCGACCTAGAGGTTGGCGTAGTCCGCTCTAGTCTCGCACATAGCCTCTGCGTCTTCATATAGGATAAAATACCTCTCCCTCGTGTTCGTCAATGTCGCCATGTGTCGCTATGCGTTGCGACAGGTTGCTACCCTAGCGATCCGCATTAATTGTATAGCAATGATAAAGGGTAGCTGCCGTGTCCGCCTCGATCTAGGATAGTAGATCTCACAGCAGGCTTAAAGACGTCAGAACACGGGAGGTTTACTAGGAGCTCCGATGCAGCAAGTAGCCGCCTGAGCTAACGACGAGACCGATGAAGATGGTGCAGTAGTCGCGGTCGTAGTCATTACCTAGTAAGAGGATTTTACAACAGCCCTGCACGTTGTCTTTCAAGCGAGAACTTCTGTTCCAGACAATTTTGTGAATTTTAGTAAATCTTTAATTTAGTGGGCAAATACGATGTTAAAAATGCTCTTCTATCTGAGCAATGTTGCGGTTTCGCATTGGAAAAAGTGTCGATGCTTGTTAGCATCAAGCAATCTTTCAAGCGAGGACTTTTAATTTTTTTTTCGTGAATTCTGGTAAATTTTTCACTTTGGTGAGCGTGATTTACATTGTGGAGACTGCTTATGGGGAGGAGAAGAAGAAATTGTGTGCAATCTGCGTTTTCATTGGTAGAAATAATGTCGACGGTTTTCAGCTTTTTTTTTTCGAGCAAGCTTTTGTTTCTTACACATTCTTCGTGAATTTAGGTGAAAACCTCAATTTAATAAGCTTCTACACTTGAAATTAGGGGAGGGAGATGATAAAGAAGGAATTGTGGCATGAAGTTTTGCTAGTAGAAATGCGTCGACGCTTTCCGACAGTAAGCACATTTTTATACGAATTTGCCCTTTGATTCATACAGTTTCTTTGACTTCTGGTGAAGAACTTTAAATGGTGAGCTTCATTGAAACAATGTCGAAAACGGTTTTTTTCGAGAGGAAAGAGAAATTTTTGGCGAACTGGTGTTTCACCAATGGAAATAACGTAAATGCTTTCTAAGCATTCTGTCATGCGAGAATCTTGATTTTCATACAGTTTTCTAAAACTCGGGAAAGCCTCAACTTGGTGAGCACACTGTTGAAAATGCTTTTGGGAGAGGGGAAAGTAATTTTGCGCAGGTAGTGGTTTCTTTATTAGGAATTATGTAATGAATCGAAAGGTTATAGGCTTTTTCCATGCGTATAGCGAGCGTGGCCCTGCAGACATTTGAACGCGTTGAATAACTTGCTGAACCTCCACTTCAGAGCATTGGTTTTTGTAAACTTTAGCTATCAAAAACTGCCACGCGCATACGTTGGCAAACGTCGGCAAAGCTCCGCCCACTATACTGTGGGGATTAGACGATACCTGAATTTAGCAATTCTGATTTATTTGGCAATTTTAGCTCTTTTGAGCAATTTTTGAGGCAATGTGTTCATCCTTGGTGCAAAAATTTCTTGGGATAGCGGTAATTATAGATTTGTGAAAGCTTTAGAAACGAGAATCTCAGCGATCAAAGTTTAGTGCATTATTTTGGAATGCACTGTATATTGTGATGTAAGAGTATTCATTTCCATGTACTCACTTTTTTTGAATCGTTGCGGTACTCGTATATGGCTGTCTCCATGCATTTTTTCCATTCGTGAAACTGCCTTCTCACGCGGGGGGCTCCATCTCCCGAAACAAGCTACAGTAGGCTTCATGGTTGCAAATGTGGCAAACGAAAAGGACAAACTCCCTGTTTCCTGTTTCCGTTGTACTTTGAAATTATGTAAAGAAAGAAAATGCTCCAACAGAAAAAAGCAACACGTGCTGAGTGCGCACCTAAATTGTTGTAAAATAAAAACTAAAAAAAGGCACAAATCGTGATTTTTTTCAAAAGTCTTTCAACCAAGATGGATCGTAGTGAGTGGTCTTGTCAGTCGTTTCCATTCAAAAATGTGTATAATCTATCTTAAACTTTGATATCATCAAATAGTCCTATACGACAACCATATTGCGCGATAGCACAAAATGTAGAAAAGAAGAGAGGAAAGAAAGAGCAAAAGTAAAGAGCTTTACGTAGATGTAAACGAATTCTGGACTGTCGATAGCATATTGTATGAGATTCAAAAATTTTGCCACATGACCAACATTTTCTAACTGCATTGAACACTGTAAAGGCACAGATAGCTCTGTTATAAATCGTTTTCGTATGTTTCAGTACATTCATTCAAATTTCTGGTTAGCTGAAATAGTAAGATCAATTTTTTGCTTTTGCAGATGCAGAATGTCTAGATGTTTGATCTATAATAAACAAAACAATTTTCCCATGTATTTTTTCAAAATTTCTTACTTATTTCTACATCACTGCTGCTATCTCCAACGTATTGCATTTTTAGCCCTTAGCAGTCACGAGTCATCCTCATTTTATCCACTTTTTTTTATTTTGTAATTTGCAATTATACTGGGTCGGTGCAAATGTTTCGTCAGTTTAAAAAAAACTCTGCAAAACTTCAGGATTATTTTTTAGAATTTTCACAATATGTTTCTCGAAGTGGCCAATCCATACAAGCTGCATACCATTAGATGCAGCATGAAACGCTGACTTTAAGTCTGTCTTCCATATCTGCAGAGCGCTTTTGTAGACGAAATTATGACCCGTTAAAGGCCATTATTTTGCGAAATTATGTGTGTAAAGGGCAAACTCGGCCGTACAGAGCCATACCCGGCTCAGTGCAAAACCAAAACATGCAACTAGGTCACTTCATATGATCAGTACCTAAAGGTGGGCGAAAAGGGCAATAATGTGCCTAATCTCGCAATTTTGTGTACGATTTTTTTCGCATTAAAGCTGATCTAACTTCGCTTACAAAGGCGCTCTGCAGATACAAAAGACATTTGAAATCAGCATTTTATGCTGCATCGAATGGTATGCAACTTGTATGGATTGGCCACATCGACTTCTGACCATTCCCTTGTAAGGCAACAAATTTTATAATCGGCGTGTACCTTGTAGATGAATCAGTAAACAGCTAACATACCATTCGATGCAACTTTTCTTGGTGAAACACTTGAAATTCGCAAAGAAATTGCAAAATATTTCACGAGTGAGCACTGACATACTCTAAGCTCGACTTCATATTTTGACGCGAAAACCGATCACCTATTTTGTAAGGTCAGCAATAGTTATAGTCAAGTGTTGCCTCAGTATTATGAAATTTCGCACTGTTTAATTCACTAACAGGTTACGCGATTCTTTTGAAATGACTTTTGGAGAATTATCTAGTTCAGCTGTGAAAGAGTAGCTGAAAAAAGAAAAAATTGCTTTAGTTGGCGAAAGTTGGCAAAATTCTAGCCCTTTTATTAGGTTGGTGCAAAAACAGTGGCCGTTTTGCAGATTCTCACTTTGACGTGCTATAACTTTGTGAGAAATCTAAATTTCAGAAAGGGGTAAAGACCATCAGAAGCAGCAAACCTTCTCCAATACAACGCACTTTCATTTATACTCATCATAAGCGGGCAGAAAAATACGAATTAGAAAATAAAAAAGGTTTTTTTCTAAAACCTTATTTTTGACAATTTATCATTTCCTACAAAGTTTGTTGTTATGAATGATGAGTGACCTATCTTGTAGCCGCAAGCTGGTAGTACAGAATGTCATGAAAAGGGTTTGGAGAGAAAAAGAAAAAATCCAAATTCAAACTTGTCACTTTTTTCAACATTTTTCTTCAGTATGCCTCAAAACTTCGAATATAGAATTCTCCGATTTTCTGCTTACTAAACAGCTGAATGTTTTTGCAAAAACTGCTAGTGATGTACTAACATTACGCTTACGGAATTGAGCGAAGCTTCGACACGTGACTTCTTCAAAAGAGATTTGTAGGTCATAAAATATCCACAACGGCTACCCATGTTGAGGCGCCGAAATCTCAGTCTGGATAACTTCAGAAAATACAGTCAAGTATGCATAATGTAGACAAGCTCTATTACATACGATAATTAAATTCTCGAAGTGGCGCCGTTTATATGCGTTCTTTTCTGGCCAGAAAAGTAAGTTCAATAAAGCTCTGAATTCAAATGCGATTATTTGAAGCTCAGTAACTTTATAACAGATGAGGGTGGAAGCCCACTTCAACCACCACTAGATAGAGCATAAAAACAGCTTCTCAGCGGTGTGCTACATATATTTCAAGAAAGACATTCTGACGGAAAAAAGTTGCTTTGAAAAAAGGCTTGGAAAATCGGCCATTATTTTTGCACCAACCTAATAGTTGGTTATCAGAGCTCCCCAAAATTCTCAGATAAAAATTCTAAAAATTAGCGAAACTTAGACGGTGAAAACGAATAATTGTAATTTCCAGCGATTATTTCAGCACTCTCTCAACGAATCAAAATGCGAGATAAAGCACTAGAAAGAGGAGAAAATTCTATTTCGGGAACAAAGTTTATTCATAAACTTGAAAAGTTTATTCATCAACTCCAGGTTTTTTCTTCTCTGAATCTCGGCATCTTATGTCGTAATTTGATGCAGTAGACGTTTTGCCAAGCCTAGATTAGTACGGTGAATGTTTATCGACCTGTTTGGACAAAATCATCTTCTTCGGAAGTCTGAAAGATGATTGCAGTCTTGACCTATAAAACTACGACGCCAAACCCCATCTCCGTACTTATCGAGTCTAGACCTCGTCGTATGCACAACGTACAGAGAGGCATGCTGGCAGAAGAAATCGACCGTTGATCCACCGTGATAAGGATGTTGATAGTACGCGAGTTGCGGATGGCCGCAGAGATATTGAGGACGTTCGTCACTGGGTGTCACTCGTGTGTCATGTCTATATATACGGCAGGCAACTGTTCACTTAATGATAGAAAGGGCAGAAGATCACTTGTCATTAATAGGCCTTCATTCTCGTTGTTCATGCTTGGGCTCTCCATAAAGATCCAAAAAGCATCTACTAGTATCTTTCGTGCAGAAATTTCTGTCTCGTGCGCCGAGATAAAACATTCGACCTCATATTAAATTCCGCCATGTGCTTCAACTCTGTGCTTCAACTTTCCCAACGGCGATACTAAATTCCCTCGTCTTTTGTTTGCTAAGTGCTCTTTGATTCTGATGTTCAATGCCCTGCCCGTCTCACCTATGTAGAAAGCCTTGCTACTCAACCATTCTAGTTGATATATGGCCCCTGACTTCGCGCATTTTTTAACCTCTCTATGGGCAAACAATACATTGCTCTGAGAAGCATTCTGTATCGTATAGCCTGTTTCGCACCAACTGCTTCCTTATGTTATCGTTCGGGATGTTTACCGGATACAACTTCATTTTGCAGTTGTGCTCGAGCAATGCATTGTTCAAAGCTCATTTCATCGGAGATGAAAGGTATGCAAAGTAGTGCTTTCTTGTCCGTACGTGCAGTTCGACTACATAAACCAGATCGTGGTCTTATTCGGATATGTGTAAAAGTTGTTGCGCGAAACTCGTCAATCTAGTAGATGCAAGTCATTCTTTCAAGGCATTGCTAACTTCTGCAGCTGTCTGTACATGTTCTTGATAATCGCACGTTTCGTCGCAGTAGAGTGTGCTGATTCGTATTATGATATTCTTTAAGCTTACTTTCCTGCACTACTTCATCCGAATCTGCCACCAGAAAAGTTTATCTGGGTCATAGGTGCGATAAGGTGAGAATGACTTCTTCAGGGTGAAGGGAGTCACAGTGGTCGCAGCCCCTCCAGGGTGAAGGGAGTTTCAGTTGATCGAGAAATCATAAAATGTCGGCCGGGGGGGGGAAGGGTTGGGGAGAGAGGGTAGAGGGTAATGGTGTTCTCTTCTTATATATAAAGCTGAATGTCTGTTTGTGTGTGTCTGTGTGTCTGTACGTATGTTCCGAATAGAAAATTCCATTTCTCAACCGATCCGGACCAAACTTGGCACACATACACTTTGGGCCCCGGCGGGTGTCATAGGCTACTTTTCGTCATCGATCGATATCGATTTTATCGATTTTTTGCAAAATTTGAGCTACGGGGCTGGGAGTTGGCACAGGGGGGTAATCGAGCATGCTGATTACAAATATGTTATTGACAGGGCCGGGCGGAGCCGGGTTTGCCAACTAGTATTTTTCTAAACCAAAGTTTATCTTTTTAAATTCTCTGCCATCATTGGTTGTCTTTTTACCAAAATGTGAAGACTGAAGTAGGATTGGAATTGTCCTGTACGTTTTTAAAATTACCATAGAAGATGTGTTTGCGAGAACATCTGTTTCCGGAAATAGGTAGACAATTTTTAAGCATTTACGAATGTTTAAAAGCAGAACCCTGTAACTTCTGTAGATGAACAGCAACATCAGCAAGAAAATAGTTTTTAGAACCATCATTTCTTCAGCTTCAAGGAAATATACTATAGTTGGTTGGGGTCCTTTCAAAAAAGTTTAGGGGTTCTTAATTTTCGGATGTTTACGAACTTTTGAACCAAGAAAATCCACAACCTCTGTAGATGAACATCTTGTGCGCCGAGATAATCACCCTCATAACCGTCTCGTCCCCCCCTTTTGTAAAATATATAGCGTGTTTGAGATCCAAAAAAAAGTGCCGTCCAAAAAAGTGCCTGGGTGAAGGGTGTGCCCAGTGATTTCTGGAAATTTTCGAGTTTTCAACATAAAAAATTCATAACTTCTGTAGAAGAACATCTTGTACGCCATGATGGCCACCATTGGAACCGCCTTGTCCTCCTTTGAGAAAATATATACCTTGGCTGGGGCCCATTGAAAAAAGTGCCTGGTGAAGGTGGGAGAGACTCTTATAATGGGAGTGTTTAAGTAGACGTCTTTTCACAATAGCAAAAA